ATCTGCGTTGGTTGATTTTCTTCTCCCGGACCAGAAATTTGTGGCATCGCGAGTGATAATTTGAATTTCAGTTTATAGCGAACCCCACACGGTAAGAAATATTGTCAATACTTACAAGTATTGACAATAATATTGATGATGTGAATACAGAAATATTGTCAATACCGATGTATTGACGTCAATATAAAATGTATTGACAATACGATTATTGTCAATACAAACTGTCGTGTAGGGTTCACTTATGATGTTGGTTTGTTCGCAACTATTTTTGAAAAAAAAAGTGTTTTCGATCGAAAGTGTACCAAAAGTGCTTTTGAACGTGTTTCCTAGTTTTTTTTTTTTTTTAATAATTCGTTTATTTTTCCAGGCTCATTTGCTGTAGCTTTGCGGAGCCGATATTCATTGTTTAGATAACAAAATTACTTAAAACTAACGTTAGTAAAGCGGGGGCCGATTACTCGCGGCTATCTCGAGGTTAGGGGTAACAAATTGTAACAAATGGATAGCAGGGTAGGGATTGTGAACACAAGGTTTGGAGAGCAATGTGCTCTTGATCTCGAACTAGGCGACACTCTGATGAAAAAGACAAACATGGGGGTACACCGATGGGTAGCTAACAACTTGGGAGAACACAAGATGACACTAACTTCTAAATCCTCAAATCTATCCGTTTTAAAAACACATAAATTAAATTCAAATAGTCAAGGTCTCGGCTCGCCAAAACATCTCTAACGGGTATCGCGGTGTTTCCTAGTTGGGTGTGGTGAAATTCGTGCATTCCTGGTTGATTTTCAGTGGAAATTCCGTATCACAAAATTGCCCACCCAGGCTTCCAAATAGTACAGCCTCCTCGCGACAGTTGGTTTATACCTGAATTGACAGTTGATTTGTGTGCTTTACTGCCGCTTGCTACCGTACGTTCAGATCTGAATACGAAGTGTATTGGCAACAGCGCACGCACGAACGAATGAAAGCTGTATTAGAACAGTCGCATCTATACCCGCTTTGCTAAAATCATCGTGCTTGGAACGTAGTGAACCGAATGGGCTGTATTTATACATTTCTTTATTACCAGGTTCTCAATGTTTCTGTCGTCATAACAGCCTTCACAAACCGACGACATCCCTCAGCTTACCCAAGTGGCTGTCACGAAAAGGCTGTCACGAGACATTATATACAATTGATATACGGCAGTGGAGTATGGAAGAAATCCAGTATAATGATCCAGAACAGATATGTCGGCCCGATGTCGGATCAATGTAAGGTCAATTTATGGTCAACGTCGGCCAAATGTCGGGTCGATGTCGGGTCAATTTTGTGTTTATGTCGGGTCAATGTCGGGCCAACATCGGGTTGGGGTTTGGTAGAAGTCAGGTTGGTGTCGGGTAGGTTTATATTTTTCGCCGGAGACCGCGCGTTTTTAAAAAAATATCGGATGAAAATTTTGCAATGGGCAGCACGAACGTGATAGCAACCGAACGAGCTCCGGCGCCACACTGGTAGTGTAGTAGCAGTCTTACGACATACAAACAAAATTTCAAAGACAGCAGCAACGAATCGGCAGTTCGACGGACTGCTTGTTGTATGTACGAGGAACGTTACGAATGACCATCCGAGGCTGTCATAGCCGAACGAACAAAATACATGAATAAGAACGAGCTGTCGTGTACTGCACAAGACGGCAACGTTGCATGTCGTATAACAGCCTCACTGTGGGCTGTCGCTTATAGCTCAATCTCAAGGCTGTCGTAGGGAAAAGAAAGCGACAGCCGTTGGAATACTGTCATGAGGCGGTACTTTTGGTATGCCTGTGCCCACCGATTCCTTCTTTTTTTTTGCCGTTCGACGACGACAGGTGTGCTTTGGCGAGAGTGACGTTTATTGGATCCGTTTCTTTGCACGGCTGTTTTTTTTGTGACCAGCGGTTGTAAGTGTGCCAATTGCATTGCCTCCTGGGAGGCCGGTTCACCGTGTTCGGATGTGACGCTTTCATCGTATAGTTCTATGGAGAGTCTTTCAGAGACAATAGTTTTTGATTAACTGCAGAAGGATATAAATCGTCCTCTAATCTATGGGAGCTCTTCGAAATCGCCGTGAAGTCATGAATTCCTTTGCAACATATCGGGTGAGATCTTTCCTTTATTGTTCTCTTAACATTCATTCCATATATGACACATTATATGCTGGGTATGGGACGATTCAACCAGGGCACCGAGGGCACCCGATTGAAGCAGGGGTTTGACATATAGCTTAATACACGTACTCAACATCAAAACAACAAAACATACCGCTGACAACGTTGCAGACGTTCGGTAGGCAGCAAACTTAAGCGATATGACAGCCATATCCATCCCCTGGATTGAAGCGATTTGGATGGGGAGAGTGGAATTGCCAACTTCCTGTCGTTAACAAATCGTGAATTGAAGGCGGGCTCTTCTTCCCCACTCATTGGAACATCCCCTCGTGCGTTGGCTTGTACACTCAAAAAAATTCACACGTCATCATCATGTGCCTCACACTTAATTTTGCACTTATTGTGAAACACATCCATTTCATGTGTGAATCTTATGCTTTGAACCATGTCTCAAAACTATTGGTTCGAATTCTGACGCACTTGGATTCTATGTGCCTAACATGATGATATCAATAGCTTTGCACACATAGTTCAATGTTCTAAAATATTCTACTTTATCGACTTCCACATTACCGACTCAAAATTAAATCGACAAATATATAAACAAAGCTGCCAGAGGGTAGAGCATACACATGCCTTTTAATTAATGGGTCTGATTTGGGAATTGATCCTGGACTGTTGGGGTGTGCTGCTGCAGCTGTCTTCGTTCGATCTCACTGGTCCATGGTTGTTCTCATATATGAGGCTGGTTGGTAAGTATGAAGTCACAACTTATGTTTTCAATGTTTACCTTGCAGAACAAGCATTTCACATCGCATTGAAATGCAAAACACTTCAAATCCATCTGTTATGAACAGTAGTGCGATTCAATGTGCAATACGCTTGAATTGATAGAGAAAGATTATCAACATTTCAAAGTTTGAAACACAAGAAATCAACGTGTAGAACACATTGAACCATGGTGAAATACACTTAAAATAAATGTGATTGTGCATATGAAATATCAAGTGTTCAAACAGTTCGATCAGACGTGTGTAGTTTTTTGAGTGTACATTACCGAGGGGAGTGACACATCTAAATCTCAATTCTAGATGCTCAACAAATCGCACACTAGCGAATCAATCTTCGAAAAATCTTCTTTCATTTCTCGCATCGACTTGCATCGCGCATCATCTTTTTGCAGGAAATCTACAGAATTGTCATCAATCTTCTTTCTTTGTCATGCGTGCGGGCAGCGATCCACAGCAAAACATAGATTTTCCTGTATCGTAGATAGAGTCGCCCCCTTCATACATTACCGGGTTGTAGAATTTTATTGTTTGAAGGAGATTCTCTTTGATCCTGCGGACTAAGCGTAAGTGTCTTTGCTTACAGGTTCGCCCTCCGTTTTTGGCCCTTCATACAATGGTAAATTGAATACAATCAGGTGTTGTACTTGATCAAGTCGTACGAGGTGGACAGTCCACTATCTAATGGTTGTGCCTGGAACAATTATATCTGAATCTTAAACCTCATTTTCTGACCTTTCAAGAGAGGTTCTGCCAATACATCAATGAACTCTGTTGATTCCGAATATCAAGCATTTTATCATTTCAAGCATAATTTTTCAAAAGGACGTAAGTCGCAAAAATAAACTAATCGATATTTTGCATCTAACCGAATATAAAATACATGCTTTTCCTACGAGTTAATGAAAAACAAGGTTTGAAATTGTAATGCATTATGGAAAATATATTTAATGAACGCCCTATGTGACCTTCTTTCATTGTTTACATCGTACATCGCGTACATCGTACGGGTTAGGCAAAAATGTGCGTCTATCTCTAAAAACTGTCGCATTAATGGCCCTTCGCTCATTTTCAACTTCTATTCAATTTTCATACTGCCGTACTCTAACGGAACTATCCACCTACCCTCTTCTAAAGATCATTCTCTAGCTAATAAATCATCACACTAAAGCTTCATGTTAGCATTTCCAACCAACTCTATATGGATTATTTTATTCTATTTAACAAAAACAAACTGTGTATTTCATCATGCTCAACAGAATGATGTCAAGCTGTCCATCAGCTTCTTCCTCTAAGGAAAAAAAAATCTCGGCTCATCTCTATGATCGTCCAGATTGTTTGTGCTGTGTATCGAATGAATATTAAAAAAATCAAATGTGGTCTATTTAGAATATTTGAATAAATTAAAGAAATATTATTAAATTATACTATTATGAATATTGTAAAGATTGTATCTACATATTAAGGAAATATTTGTATAAACAGTGTCAAAATATTGATACTAGAATCCTCCAATGAATGTCACAAACCAAATCACATAACTTCTATGTGATAATCCTGTGACGGTTAAGCTTCATGAAATGAGTGCCACTACATGAGAATTCCGTAGCTCTTATGTGAATACACGTAGCAATTACGTGAAAATTATTCTGAGTGTAGCCTTCTGCGAATAGTTTTGGTTCAGTACTTCAAAGTTTCATTGGCATTGGCTGTCAGAGACGATTGTCAATTTCGGTTGGCAAATCTGACGCCCAATGATAATTTTTCTCTGAAATGGCAATACTAAAAAGTAGAGCAGTTTATGCAAATCCCAAAAAAAACCATGAAAAAATTTGCGTCGGCCGGGAATCGAACCCGGATCAACTGCTTGGAAGGCAACTATGCTGACCATTACACCACCGACGCCATGTATTTTTAGAAACGACTGTGTCGCATCATTCAAACTGATTGAAAAGCTACTTGAGAAAGTATTTACTTGTTTCACTAGAATTGATAGGACCGCAAAATGCTTTATGAGATTAGAACGATTCGGTATGCTTTAGTACATTAATCTGTTGCTAATCTCCCGTTCAGCCAAATATGCCTGGGCTTTTATTATTATTGTATACTATTTATAGCAATATTAAATGGGGAATATTAGTTGACAGTTTCTTACCTTTAGAAATTGCCAGATGCCACCACACCAGCCTAGAACTTGAATTCCTTGTACTTCTTGGTCTGCTTGCTGGTGGTATCCGTTTGTTGTCGTTTCCGCTTGGATTTTTGTCTGGCCACGTGCTCCGCCAACATGTCGGAAAGGTCCTCCTTCTGCAGATGGCTTTGCTGCTCTCGCATCTGTTGTTCGTACCGCTGGGCCATTGCTTCGTTGTCCATGTCCAACTCGGACGGATCCAGTGCCAGTTCTACCATACCCTCCCGATCGACTGCTCCTCCACGGGCAGCACGTGATCCACCAGCAGCGGCAGCGGCGGCTGCTGCCGCTCCAGCCAGATCGTACACATGGGTGGATCCCATCATAGAAGCTCCAATCCTATCGGTACGCTTTTCCGGTAAAACCTGATACAGCACCGGTGTTTCATTGTCCTCCATTTCGCTCTCGATTTTCTTTTTGCGCAGTTCGATTGTGTCCGGTGTTTCCATACCAGCAGGGACGCCACTCGTAAGACCAGACGGTGTGACCAATCCCTCGGCCGGAGTGATGAGACCACTTTCATCTGGTGGTGCACCCAAATCTTCGCCGTCGTCTTCCTCCTCTTCGGATGATTCTTCCGACTCCGATTCCAGTTCGCCCCACTGGGTACGATCGACTTCCTCTTCGCCGAGACCGTTCTGAAATAAAAATTAACTTATAACCATTGATTCGGCTCAAACTATCCTAAGCTAAACTCACCTCATTTTCACTGGCACTCATGCCGAACACATCTCCGTACAGTGGTTTGCCATTTTCATCGACCGGTGGCTTACCCCAACCTCCAGCGTGGTAACCGAAAGAGCAACCCTCCGGAATGGGTGCGTTTAGACCGGGGATCCTCAGGTTCGGGTAGCTTGGCGGTGGACCATAACGCTGCTGGGCAATCAACCATGGCGGAGGAATCTTGTGGCAAGCCGGTCCAATTGGCATTCCCAGAGCCACCCTGAGCTCCTCCGATAAATCTCCCGGTTTTTTCTCCTTCAAACGGGTTTCGAACTCTTTCCCCTCGTAGTACAGATCTCCGTGGATCGTCATGCGTGGCTTGGTTTGCCACTTGAAAAATGCATCATGAAGCTTCTGGTAGTCAATATCGATCTTGCCCATTTTGGGTCTTGCACGTTCTCGCATCTTCGCCTTCAGAGTTTTGGACTCATCTTTCTCCTGCAAAGATGCTCTCATTTCCATAATACCTGTCTTTTTGATGAATGCCGGTAGCTCGAACGGTGGCTTCTCGATACCTCGCTTCCCCTGGAGATACTTCCTCTTAAAGCACCAATGTCTCGGAACCTGCACCGTGTTACGATGCGATTTCAGCTGAATCAACAGCTTTGGATCCCGTGCCGTAACGTCATGCATCTCGACAACGTCCGGTCTGGCTACCAGTTGCTTCAGCTCAGCCACACTCAATCGCGTCAGTTTCTTCATCTTTCTTTTGGAAATCCTTTCCTTGTCGTCCTTTTGATCCTCATCCATGGCATCATCATCGTCATCATCGTCGTCGTCTTTTTCGCTAGATTTCTTGGCCGCAGCGGCCTTCTCGTTTTCAGCTATTTCTGTTTTAGTCGGTTCCTTCGGCTTTGTCTCTAGTTTGAATATCTCGAATACTCTGTAGAACTGACGGTACATCGGGGCCAGATCCGCAATGGTAACCTTCTCCGGAATGTACTCTATTTCGACGTTCTCCAGCTCATCTTCTATCAAAGTAACGCTCTTCTCTCTGTTCTTCTTACTCTCTCTGCTTTTGGTTTTACCCTTTGCTTTATCGTCCTTGTTTTTCTCACTTTTCTTGTCTTTGTTTTTGTCAGCTTCGTCCACCTCGTCTTCATTTTTTCCATTCTCTTTCTCTGCTCCCTCCTCGTCCTTATCTTTCTTATCCACCGCTTCCGCTTTCTTCTCTTTCTTCTCCAAGCTCTTCCCTTTCTCGACCTCACGCTCCTTGTTGACAACTTCATTCGTACTTACCTCTTTACCCTTCTGGAGCTGGAACAATACTTGCTGTTCCCTGCGGGCCTTTCTGTTTTCCTTCTTACGTTGCTTGCGCCTTCGGTTCCGATCCAGTCGACCTTCCGCCTTCGAGATAACTGGCGGCGGTGGAGCCAAACTATCCATGTTGTCATCATCGGAATCTCCATCCATGTCCAGGTACGAGCTCATCACTCCTGCTGGTGGAGGTGGAGCCATCGGAGCCGGGATAACCACGGCTCCCGTAGTTGCCAACACCTCTTCGGCACCCAATTCCTTAGCGCGAAGCGTCTTCAGTGCCAACACATCCTCCAATGCTTTCGGCAGTATCAACTCGGAAGGTTTCTTGTTTTCCTGCTCTTGTTCCGGATTACCGACATTGAGCGACATCAGTGGAGGTGGGTTCCTATTCGGGTCCTCTAATATCCCTGGTGCACCACCCGAAGGAGGGGGACCCATCAGTGATGTCGGGGGTGGACCCATTAGGGAAGGTGGTGGACCACCCGGTGCACCCATTAGCGAAGGGCCACCAAGACCGGGTGGCCAATTAGGAGGACCACTGCCAAGTAGCATATCCGGTGGTGGCGGCGGAGGCGGTAGCAATGTTACTGAATTTTGCTGCTGATGATGCTAGAAAGTAAATACAAAACATAACCTCCTGCATGTTAACCAAATTCTCGAAAAAAAAATCATAATACGAATATATTTCGAATTACAAACGCTTACCTCAGATTTATTCTCCATGTTGAGACAGGAAACCAATCATTTACAAGCCAATGGTAAGGAAAATATGCGAATTTATTCAAATTTACTGCACAACAAATTGATTTTCCTTTCGAAAAATCACAAAATCGGCTTGAAATTTCTATGCTGTCAACTGACAGAAGCGAGGTTTTAGATCCATTCCCTTCAGAAACGTCTGGCTTCTACACGGAAAAAGAAAAAAATGTCCCGGTTAATTTTTGAATAGGTCCTATAAGATGGGGAATAATACAGCAGAAATTCGCTTGTTTCAACGTGTGTGCTCGTTGCACAGCAAAAAAAGTTGTTGAATATTACATCGAAACTGCTGCAACCAGGTCAATCCATCGGTTGTGTAATATCACATTGTACGATGTACATCGATTTTGCGAACAATATTACATCCATTGATGTAATATTGTATCTGCTTTTTGCTATTACATCATTATTTCATACATCAGCTTGAATTACGTTGATCGATATTACATTTTTTTTTGCTGTGTGGTTGGGCCTCCACTAGTTGGGGCATGACCCAACTGGATATCAAAATTTAATGTCAAATTAGATTTGACAATTATTCAAAAAATCTTCCAAGGTGTAAGCAGAACCCTAATAAACTGGTACCATACACTAACGATATCATAGATGGTTCGTCCATACCACATATAATTGGGATGATATCCCGAATTGGTGGTTAGGCGCTTCTTATGGTTATTGTTTATGCGGGAAAGCATACACGTTTTGAACTGCGTAATCACGGATACTAATTTTATTAATTTTAATCAAAAATATAAATGTTTTTCAAGTGGCTCCGGTGGTGTAGTAGTCAACCTGACTGCTTATCACTCCAAAGGGCCTGGGTTCAATTCAATCCCAGTCGGTGCCGTCGGGATTTTCTGAGGCATAAAATCTCTGATGACGCCTTCTTTCGGAAGGGAAGTATAGCAGTTGGTTTCCGATCCATGAGTTGATGGGTCGATAGGTCCAGGCATGGGAGCTGCCCCTCTGGCGTCGGTAGCAATAGCACTCAGTACGCACATAAAAAAAAGTTGTGGAATATTACATCCAAACAGCTGCACAAAGGTCATTCCGCCAGAAGGTCCCGTAATATCAACAATCAATACGAAACTAACGATTTTAAATTGGCTCACCACTTTAGTAGCCTATTGGTCCCAAGCAAACGATTAACGTACCCTATTCTAGTCGAATTTCTAGTACTACGCAATGTTTGTTTTGATTCGCTATGAAAGTTTGACAGATAAAATGAGGGGTTATTGGTTTTTCCTATGTTTCGAGGGGTGATTCGACAAGCTTGGGACCGAAGATAGTACCAGAGGTGAGCCAAAAAGTTGAGCACGTTTCTTCGGGACCTACTTGTCTTAGAGTTACCTCTATGGTAATATCATAGAGGTAACTCTAAGACCACTGGGCCCCGAAGAAAATCATTATTATTTTTGGCTCACTCAGTACCAGAACAACGGTCCCAAGCAGTCCCAAGCTATTTCACTCACCCCTGCATGTTCTGCATGAATCCACACACCCCTGATGTTATCTGTCAAACTTTCATAGCGAATCAAAACAAACATAGTGCAGTAATAGTGTTGCATATGCAACGATGGAAACGCTTTTCCGAAATAGTAATCCTGTTTATTATTTACAGCGATTAAAATTTTCCTAAATATTACAATTTCAATTAGGTATCAATAAGGGATTGTATAAACTTCGTCGTACTCACGTTTGTAAATTCCATATAATTTCCGTACGATCGATTATTGGTTCTGCGATCTCTGTGCGACTTCTGGTTTACTTATTTGTGTTCTATTGTTAAGGTATAGTAAATAGTTTTAAGCTTTTAATCTAGATGTAGTTCAAAAGTATTTACCTCGAGATAATGTAGACATAACCAATAATTAGATAGTTTGCAGCTTTGCAAAATTGATCGGTATCCTATAAGTTATCCTGTAAATCTTTTAGTTTTAAGTTCATGTTTTTCATATTAAATTTATGAAGCGCTCTTACCGTATAAACTTAGAATAAGCTTTAAATTATATAAAGTTTAGTTATTCACTTAGTTATTATATTTAGTATTAATAATGCAGGAAAACTTTCACGTGCGGTTGGTCTTCAATTGTTTAATTGCACCCGTCATCCGACGACGTCAATGACAGTTATCTGTCCCATCATCGCACCGCAACCAACTTAACTACAACAACGCAAATCCATCGGGGGACAGGACTGCTAATCAATGAGTCTCCGGAGTAGGTGCGGCGTTGCCCGTATGGTGTACGCAACAGTCCCCCGCAGTAATTGGACCCTGGTCTGCCTTACTTCCGTCTGCACCTACATCCAGCACAGCTATTTTCACTGCAGGCCTGTCGTACAGTCCAGATGGAGTTTGGACAACCGCCGAGCGAACTTGTCCATCTTTGGAGGCCTTCACCGACACCACACGTCCTTTGGGCCAACTGTTCCTTGGCAGACTGGGATCAGCTACTACGACTATGTCGCCTATCGCGATTGGCTTAACCGGGTAGAACCACTTGGTACGACGAGTGATTGTGGGTAAATATTCTATCACCCACCGTTGCCAGAATCGGTTCGCCAAAGCTTCCGATGCTTTCCACGATCTTTGAAGTGTTAACGGACAATCATTGTACGGAACAAGCGGCTTCGATCCGTCCGGTGACCCCATCAAGAAATGGTTTGGGGTAAGCGCCGGCGAGGAGTAATCGTCCACGGGTACGTGCGTCAGTGGTCTACTATTGACGACATTCTCTACTTGAATCAAGTAACTTCTTAGTACCTCTTCTGTAGGCACTCGCTGTGGTTTAACGCTGGCCAAGACCTTTTTCACCGACTGGATGAGACGCTCCCAGCAGCCACCCATATGCGGCGACGCAGGAGGGTTGAATCGCCATGATGTTGTTGGTGTGGTGAATTCAGTCAATAACTTGTCTCGGTCCAACTCCGCCACCGCAACTTTCAATTCTTTATCCGCACCGACGAAATTTGTTCCCCGGTCGCTCCTGATTTCTATGGGAGTACCACGACGTGCGAAGCAGTTCCTCAGAGCCATGATACAAGAACTAGTGTCCAACGAAGCGGCCAGTTCCAGATGTATCGCCCGCGTTGTTAAACATGTAACAATCACACCCCAGCGCTTCTCGTGATGCCGACCGACGAGGACAAGGAACGGTCCGAAGAAATCTACACCCACATACGAGAACGGGCGTACAAAGACTGCCACTCGTGATTTTGGAAGAGGTCCCATTGCAGGTGGTGCAGGTATTGCACCGCGAATCTTGCACAACTGGCAGTTCCGGCGCACCTGATCGCAGACTGTACGCACTCTTGGTATGTAGAAATCTTTGCGCACTAGGTTAACGCATGCTTCGTGGTACTGATGATGATAATGTTGATGTACGTTAGCGACGATAAGATGCGTTGCTGGATGAGCTCGAGGAAGCACAATAGGGTACTTGTCACTGTCATCTACGAAGTCGCACTCTCCCAAACGGCTGTGAATCCGCATTACACCAAGATCGTCGATGAACGGGTTCAGTTTGTACAAGCAATTCTTCTTATGGAGCCGTCTGCTCGCTGCTAATACCGCTAGTTCTTCACCGTAGGCGTCTTCCTGTGCTCGCTTTATTTGGAACGTCTCCGCCGTAGAAAGTTCTTCCTGTGTAAGCGGACCGGCGATCGATGGTTTTCTATTTTTCTTCTTTCTGAGATTGACGAAGAAACGTTGAACATAGGCCGTTACGCGCTGCAAACGTTGCCACGAAGAGAAATTTTCCGGCAGCAAAATTGTACGAACCCTTCCTTCCGAATGGTGCATCATACTCGGTCGGATCTCTGTGCAGGTTTCTTCACCGATCAGCGACGACTCTGGCCATTCGTTCTTTGGCCTCCACAGGAACGACGGTCCGGTGAACCAACGGCTTGTTGGCTTGAGGTCTGGTTTGAACTTCCATTTCGTGCCGTCGTCGGCTACGTTGTACTTCGTGCCCAACCAGCTCCACTCCGTGATGTTTGTCGCTTCCAGTATTTCACCAACACGGAAGGCCACGAATTGGGAATAACGCCGGTGGTCGGACTGTAGCCAACACATAACGTCCCGTGCATCCGTCCAGAAGTAACGACGATGGATTTTAATGGAGTGCCCTTCTGCGATGTTGTGAGCCAAACGCGTACCAATGACGGCCGCTTGGAGTTCTAACCGAGGGATAGAGACGAACTTGATGGGCGCAACTCTTGTCTTGCTTCCAATTAGAGCGCACTCCACGTGGCCGTTCACCTCGAAACGAAAGTAGGACACGGCAGCGTAGCCACTTTCGCTAGCATCCACGAATGTATGCAGTTCGATAGTGGTTTGATCAATTCCCACTTCGTAGCGATAATAGCAGCGATTGATCGTCACTGATTCCAATTCCGGCAATATACGCAGCCAGGTTAACCACTTCTCCAGCTGATTCTCCTCAATCTCCTCATCCCATCCAGTTCTCGCTCTCCATATCTCCTGTAGCAGCACCTTCAAATACATCAAGTAATGTGCGATGAGCCCCAGAGGATCATAGATAGCCATCAAAGTACGGAGCACGTCCCGTTTGGTAGGGTGCTTTCGTCCAGTGAGAAGCTCCTTGTTGCGACTCGTACAGAGTTTGTAACGAAAGACATCGGACGTAGTACTCCACCACATTCCAAGGACCTTCTCCATGCCGATCTCAGCGTTCATCTCCATAGACTTCTCTGACTTCAGGTTCTCTCCTAGCGCTTCCAACACAGCCGGCGGATTCGAAACCCAATTCCTCATGTGAAATCCACCCTGCTTGTGAACGTATCGAACCTCGTTCGCCAATTTGATAGCTTCTTCCTCCGTTTCTACGCTTGTTAACATGTCGTCAACGTAGTGTCTATGGTGGATAGCGTTGACGGCGGCAGGATACTCGTTTGTGAACCGGGTCGCATTCTCATTCAGGACGAAGAGTGCCGTGCTGGGTGAACATGTAGCACCGAATGTCACCACCTGCATCACGTAGTCACATGGTTCTGTTGTGTCTGCGTTAGCGCACCACACGATCCGCTGACTATCTTCATCTTCAGCTTTCATCCGCATCTGATGAAACATCTCCGCTAAGTCGCCTCCCAGGCCTATCAACCTTTCTCGAAACTTATACAGCACAGGTGGAAGATCATTCAATTGATCTGGGCCTTTCATCAACATAGAATTCAGGGAGACACCTCCAAAACAAGCGGCTGCATCGAACACTATCCGAACTTTCCCTGGTTTGTTGGGGTTGAACACCGGGAATATCGGCAGGTACCATGTTCGATTTCCGGTCTTTCGGCTCTCTTCGGGTGTGAGTTTGCGAATGTACCCTTTGCGCTCGTAGTCCGCCATTTTTTCCCGCAATGTCTCTGATAAATCAGGCTCACGTTCCATCCTCTTTGTCAAGCAACGGTGACGTCTCAATGCCATGGTTCGGTTGTTGGGCAAACGCACGTCGTCAAATTTCCAGAGTAGGCCTACTTCGTATTGCCCGTCCTTGAAGGATGTAGTTTCTTGCAGTTTTGCCAAAGCGCGTTCATCTTCCTTGGAGAGTAGCTGATTTCGTTGCACACTGATGCCTAAACTGTCAAGTGCGAAATAGTTCTTGACAGCTTCGTGCAGACTTTCGTCCGAACCGTGAGAATGGAAGCAGATATGGAAGTTGTGTGGAGTTTCATCTGATGCCATACCACCTGCCGACGGACAAGTGCCATAGACCGTCCAACCTAGACGTGTCTTAACTGCTACAGGCTCATCTAGCTTTCCTTCACGGCCTTCTAGGGGATGCAGTACCCTAACATTGCTCATCCCGATTAATAGCTTTGGACGAACGTTGTTGTATGGTTCTATCGGCAGACCCTTAAGTTGAGCGTACTTTCCTGACAGCTTACGTGCAGGAAGAGATTGTGACGGAAGCTTCAGATCTTTAACAGTGTAGACCTCCGACAGGCTGTGCTGGCTACTACTGCTGTGCGTGCCGGAGATGCTCAAAGAGACAATTGTGGCATCTTTTTCATATCGGCATGTATCAGCAGTCCAGCGCAGACAAAGTGGATACTTCTCACCTCGCAGGTTCAATTCTTTCGCCAAACTCTCCTCCATCAATGTCAGGGAAGATCCACTGTCCAGGAATGCATGTGTACGCAGCTCAATTCCATTGTGGTACAAAATAACTGGAATGTACTGGAATAATACAGCTTTATTTCCTCCACGATGCGTGTTGCATGATTCGGTTTCTGGCGAACTTTTGGTTCCTAGCTGAGGACCACGGTTGTCCGAACTGGATGACAACGTCTCTTGTTTATCCTTCGCATCGTTGTGCAGAAGCCGATGATGTTTGTACTGGCAGCCATTCTTCCCACATAGTTTTCCAATCTTACAGGGACCACGATGGTTGCCCAGGCAACTACGGCATAGCTTGTACTCCCGGAGTGTGTCCCATCGAACGGAAAGACCGAACGACAGAAATTTCTCGCACTTCTCAACTGCAACGCAATCTCCATGGCAGACGAGGCAACCACCGCTAACTTCGGGTTGCTTAACCTTCGCATCTATTTCGGTGTGAGCGTTCAAGAATCCATCATCCTTCCGCCCGCGATGAGATTTGCTGTCGAATGAACTTGAAAACTGTGGCATTGTCACGGTACTAGCTGCTTCCGCTAGGTTGTATAGCCAGTCACTGAACTCTGATATCGTCACGGCATGAAGAGACTGTCGATGAGTCGCCCAATTCAATCGAATCATCGGAGGAAGCCGTTCAGTTAAGCTGTGCAGAAGAGTGAGGTTGCATAGGTGCTCCTCTAATTGACAGGCTTTAACGGTAGCCACCATATTACGCACGGCCAAAGCGAAATCAACAAGCGTACCAAGACGATCCGCTTTGGGAGCAGGCAGAATATTAATTTTCTGCAGCAGTGAATGTACTATGATTTCTGGACGCCCAAAAAGCATCTTTAGCGTGGAGATTACTTGTTCCAGGTTGCTAGGGTGCAATAGCTGACATCTCACCGCTTCCAGCGCTTTTCCTTTGAGGCACTTCTGCAGACGAACCATGTTTTCTTCGGGTGAAAATCCGCAGAGGTGTGTGGTGTTCTCAAAGGACGCAAAGAATAGCGGCCACTCTTCTGGTTCACCGGTGAATACTGGTAACTCCTTCGAGACCGCATGACGAGCGGCGATTTGGCTTCCATTCAGCAGCGCCGTTGCTCCCATGGCGGAAGGAAAGTCATGATAGTCATATGGGTGGTTCACTTGAGCAGTAGGACGCGGAAGACCAACATATGGGGCAAACGCGGAAGCGTTCTGGTGCTGATGGTGATTCGGCTGGGAAAACAATGGAATATGCGGACGCTGGTCGGTCTGAGGAGGAGCAAACGTCGAAGCATTGGGTCGTTGGTAGGCTGGATTAACTGCCGGTATATGCCGCTGTTGATTGACTCGAGGTGGATCAATGGCCGAAAAATTGGGTCGATTGTTGACCAAAGGTGGAACGTCAACCGGGACGTACAGTTGTTGCTCTCTCAGACGCGGAATGAATGTTGACTCGTTACGATTTTGGTGGACCATAGGTGGAGCAAATGGTGGAATGTTGCGACGATGATCGTTCATAGGCGACGAATGAAAAACAGGATCATCTCTTACATCGTTACGTGCTGGATCACTTCTGTTACAGTTGCCTTGAACCACAGGTTTGAAACTCGCTGATGAGTCAAGCAAAAGCTGAAACCTACGTAACATAAACTTGCGCTCGATGGCTTCCTCTTCTTCCAACAGCTGGATCCGGAGCTCAGTAGGAAGTTTGTTAACTAGATCGGGATCAACAAAGGCTTGTCTGGGAACTAGCGGCACATCCGGTGGCACAATCGGTGTTCGTGGAGTACGTGGACGTGGGGTTGGTGGCTGCAGATTTGGAAATCGTGGTGTCCGAGGACGTGGTGTAGGTGGTTGCGGATTTGGCAACGGACTACGCGGTGGCCCGATCGGTGTTCGCGGAGTTTGCAGTCGTGGTGAGGGTACCGGCGAGATTGGTGTTTGCGGTGTGGGCAGAAGTGGAACTGGTGACTGCGGGTGCAGTAAAGGCTCAACTGTAGGAGTTCGTGGATGCGGCGGTCGTGGAGCAGGAACTCTGGCAACGATGCATTCCTGACAGCTCCAATCGTGGTTGGCCACATCTGCGTTAACTCCGACGCAGTCAAAATGAAACCACCGTTCACAGTCGTCACAGCTAACCATGTCATTGTTGTCTGGCAGTCTACAAAGTGGGCATGTCTGCTGCAAGCTGTCATCTGGCAATGGATCACGGGTTCGGTCACTCCGTGGCATCTCTGATCGATCCGAAAAACGAAAATTTTAAATTGTTGCATATGCAACGATGGAAACGCTTTTCCGAAATAGTAATCCTGTTTATTATTTACAGCGATTAAAATTTTCCTAAATATTACAATTTCAATTAGGTATCAATATTGTATAAACTTCGTCGTACTCACGTTTGTAAATTCCATATAATTTCCGTACGATCGATTATTGGTTCTGCGATCTCTGTGCGACTTCTGGTTTACTTATTTGTGTTCTATTGTTAAGGTATAGTAAATAGTTTTAAGCTTTTAATCTAGATGTAGTTCAAAAGTATTTACCTCGAGATAATGTAGACATAACCAATAATTAGATAGTTTGCAGCTTTGCAAAATTGATCGGTATCCTATAAGTTATCCTGTAAATCTTTTAGTTTTAAGTTCATGTTTTTCATATTAAATTTATGAAGCGCTCTTACCGTATAAACTTAGAATAAGCTTTAAATTATATAAAGTTTAGTTATTCACTTAGTTATTATATTTAGTATTAATAATGCAGGAAAACTTTCACGTGCGGTTGGTCTTCAATTGTTTAATTGCACCCGTCATCCGACGACGTCAATGACAGTTATCTGTCCCATCATCGCACCGCAACCAACTTAACTACAACAACGCAAATCCATCGGGGGACAGGACTGCTAATCAATGAGTCTCCGGAGTAGGTGCGGCGTTGCCCGTATGGTGTACGCAACAAATAGAATTTCAACTAGAATAGGGTACGTTAATCGTTTGCTTGGGACCAATAGGCTACTAAAGTGGTGAGCCAATTTAAAATCGTTAGTTTCGTATTGATTGTTGGTAATATCATAGAGGTAACTATAAGACCACTGGGTCCCGAAGAAAATCATTATTATTTTTGGCTCACTCAGTACCAGAACAACGGTTCCAAGCAGTCCCAAGCTATTTCACTCACCCCTGCATGTTCTGCATGAATCCACACACCCCTGATGTTATCTGTCAAACTTTCATAGCGAATCAAAACAAACATAGTGTAGTAATAGAATTTCAACTAGAATAGGGTACGTTAATCGTTTGCTTGGGACCAATAGGCTACTAAAGTGGTGAGCCAATTTAAAATCGTTAGTTTCGTATTGATTGTTGGTAATATCATAGAGGTAACTATAAGACCACTGGGTCCCGAAGAAAATCATTATTATTTTTGGCTCACTCAGTACCAGAACAACGGTTCCAAGCAGTCCCAAGCTATTTCACTCACCCCTGCATGTTCTGCATGAATCCACACACCCCTGATGTTATCTGTCAAACTTTCATAGCGAATCAAAACAAACATAGTGTAGTAATAGAATTTCAACTAGAATAGGGTACGTTAATCGTTTGCTTGGGACCAATAGGCTACTAAAGTGGTGAGCCAATTTAAAATCGTTAGTTTCGTATTGATTGTTGGTAATATTGTATCTGCTGTTTGCTATTCTATTACATCATTATTTCATACAACAGGTTTAATTACGTTGATTGTAAATACTTTTTTTTTGCTATGCGGAAAACATAATCGGCGGAAAACAAATCATCCAATCAAGATGATTAGCCCGATTCGTGCCTTCTTCAAAATTGACCTTTGCTTGTGCCACTTTTTCTCAAGTGAGTGAACTCAAATTCATCCGTGCATTCGTCTATAAGTTATTGCACCAACAATCAATACGAAACTAACGATTTTAAATTGGCTCACTACTTGACTAGCCTATTGGTCCCAAGCAAACGATTAACGTATCCCATTCTAGTTGAAATTCTAGTACTATGCAATGTTTGTTTTGATTCGCTGTGAAAGTTTTTTTTTTTTTTTTCCTTGGTTTGTTTTTCCGTCGATCTTGTTTTCCGTGCTGAGCACCAATGCTACCGACGCCAGGAAAGCAGCTCCCACACCTGGACCCTACCTATCGATCCATCAACTCATGAACCGGGGACCAACGGCTTTACTTCCCTTCCGAAGGATGGCGTGATCAGAGATGTTATGCCTCAGAACATCCCGGCGGCGCCGACTGGTATTGAGCCCAGGCCTGCTGGGGTGAGAGGTAATCACGCTTACCACCTCGCTTACCACTACACCACCGGCGCCGCTTCACGCTCATATCTGAATATACACACTAAGATTTTTTACAGTATACTGTAATTTTTTACCGAATATGGAACAGCTGAACATTCGGTAATCGATTCGGTATTTTTTTGGATTATCAATTTATTCGGTAAATTTGTCTTAACTCTGGAGCTGTCAAAAGCTACTGGCCTGGACTGTGAATAATACCAACAATCAATACAAAACTAGCGATTTTAAATTGGCTCACTACTTGACTAGCCTATTGGTCCAAAGCAAACGATTAACGTACCCTATTCTAGTCGAAATTCTAGTACTACGCAATGTTTGTTTTGATTCGCTATGAAAGTTTGACAGATAAAATGAGGGGTTATTGGTTTTTCCTATGTTTCGAGGGGTGATTCGACAAGCTTGGGACCGAAGATAGTACCAGAGGTGAGCCAAAAAGTTGAGCACGTTTCTTCGGGACCTACTTGTCTTAGAGTTACCTCTATGATAATACCATAGAGGTAACTCTAAGATGTTATCTGTCAAACTTTCATAGCGAATCAAAACAAACATAGTGCAGTAATAGAATTTCAACTAGAATAGGGTACGTTAATCGTTTGCTTGGGACCAATAGGCTACTAAAGTGGTGAGCCAATTTAAAATCGTTAGTTTCGTATTGATTGTTGATAATACTGAATGATTGGTAAAGTTTACAATAGCGTTCAGTAATGTTTTAGCCGAAATATCTGTAAATTATTTTCCATTGTGGTTATATAAATTGCAAATTAATCAGCAATAATTAACGAACTGTTTGTTCCATTAACATATATTTTATTGTATTTTCCCTGGTATTTTGAACAACACAGCAAACGTTTTATGTAAGACATAAAAATTTGCGACGCCAAGAAAAGGATTCTTCAGGTCCCAGTCCAGCAGGGAATCCAAACCAGGTTATCAACGGCAACATGCAGTTGAGGGAAACATCAGGTCACCTTAAGTCCAAGATGACTGGAAGCGATGGCCTAGGATCGAATTGAAAGTAAAGGGTGATACGGTCAAAATTTGGTCAATATCAACTTGACGTATTTCTTTCAATTTTGCATTTAAAAAACCTGAACACCCCTCATTTTAAAGGTGTGTGTGTGTAGAATGTTGCTCCTATTTTGATTTTGGAATTCACTCTTCAGTTGTCAAAATGCCGTCCAAGCAAGAAGAGCAGCGTATCAAAATTTTGCTCGCGCATCGCGAAAATCCGAGCTACTCGCACGCAAAGTTGGCAAAATCGCTAAAAGTTGCCAAATCAACCGTTACAAATGTAATTAAAGTGTTTGGGGAACGTTTGTCGACAGCCAGGAAGTCTAGATCGGGGGGAAATCGAAAACCGGAAGCCGCTGAGACGACAAAGAGAGTTGCCGGTAGTTTCAAGCGAAACCCTAACCTCTCTCTCCGAGATGCCGCAAATAAGCTGGGTGTATCGTCTACAACCGTGCATCGAGCCAAAAAACGAGCCTGACTATCAACTTACAAGAAGGTAGTGACTCCAAATCGCGATGATAAACAAAATACGACGGCCAAAGCGCGATCCCGGAGGCTGTACACGACGATGCTGACGAAGTTTGACTGCGTGGTAATGGACGACGAAACCTACGTCAAAGCCGACTACAAGCAGCTTCCGGGACAGGAGTTTTATACGGCAAAAGGAAGGGGAAAGGTAGCAGATGTTTTCAAGCACATGAAACTATCAAAGTTCGCAAAGAAATATCTGGTTTGGCAAGCCATCTGTACCTGTGGCTTGAAAAGCAGCATTTTCATAGCTTCCGGGACTGTCAACTAAGAAATTTACGTGAAAGAGTGTTTGAATAAACGTCTGCTGCCTTTCCTGAAGAAACACGGTTGTTCCGTACTGTTTTGGCCGGATTTGGCATCTTGCATTACGGTAAAAAGGCCATGGAGTGGTACGCCGCCAACAACGTGCAGGTGGTTCCCAAGGACAAGAACCCTCCCAACACGCCAGAGCTCCGCCCAATTGAGAAATACTGGGCTATTGTCAAGCGGAACCTAAAGAAGACCAAAAAAACTGCTAAGGGCGAGCAGCAGTTCAAGGCAAACTGGCTTTCTGCGGCGAAGAAGGTGGACAAGGTGGCTGTACAAAATCTGATGGCAGGGGTCAAGCGTAAGGCCCGGCAATTCGGATTTGGAAAAGCGGAAGCCTAACTGAATATTTTTCCTGAATTTTATACTAATTGAACTTGAAAAAGGAATTTCATTTGATTTTTTAAATAAACGATTTCACCGATTTACACGCGTTTTCCCTTGACCAAATTTTGACCGTATCACCCTTTAAAATAATTCTCCGCTCCATATATTCAGCCGAGTATTCAGCAGACTATAGCGAACAAACCTTTACTTTTCCAAACAACACTTCACTTCGAAATAGCGACAAAGGACTAGGGGCATCCCACTCTAAACTTTAGTACTAGTATACATTAAATATGTTTAAATCTCTTATAAGTATTCTTAAGTATTTTAAAGTATTTTTAATCTTGTATAATTTCCATCGTAGTTACCGGTTGCTAGTGTTGTTGTTTGTTGTTGTAAGCCCCGTCAATTTTATAGTTTTTGTCACTTATGAAATGAAATTAATTCTTATAATTGCAATAAAATCATGATAATTGGTTTATGTATTTCAATTATGCTTATCTATTAGTGTAAAAAATCGTATGTTATTCGAATTACTGATGATTTAGAGTAGAGAGGTTCTAGAACCTCTTTAGTTTTGAGCCGACTTTCCAGTGCGCTATCATGAATATGGACTCCTTAACAGAGCTGTTCCAGATTCTCAAGAAAATAAGGAACCCTTGATTGACATGGTTGACATGGGAGACCCAAGAATGTAACCAAAAGTGTTAGCACAAGCTGTGCATGTATGGAGAAGTATAAGTTCTTGGCTATGCCTATACAGGTCAAGGATACCAGGGTTACGCTGCGCATTTGCCTGTCGAACTACGACGATGAAGCGAACCTTTTACAGTAGGAAATTGTACTGATTGCAATACGCTTTTCGGAGAACATACATACATCTGGTAAAGTAGTTTAATTAGAATTTTGCTAGAAGTCGATGTTTTCATTTGTACATAAATTTTCCAGTTTTATTAATTGTAACTACCAACGACAAGGTGCTTGAGGTGATTGAGGATTTCAAAAACACTAGCATCGTTATCATTCTGATCCGTAGTGGCAAATAGATTATCCCGGTTTAATCGAAGCGTTTCATGCGAGACTTATACAGCTCGATCGTTCCAGAACGCGACACGTAAAAGAAGTTGATAGGTTGGTTGTTTTTATTTAAAAGTTTGAACAATCGATACTTATTTATTCGCATGTCATGTGTTACAATAAATTTATTAAATTTAAGTTTTAAAATCTTTGCTGTTAGCTGATAGAGTCAATTAAAAAAGGGATTCGACATCAACACAGCAGATATGGCTTATCAATCATGTCCAGCTCTAATAATGGTTTAACAGATGAGAATTGACGGTTCCAAATCCGAGGAAACGTAGTTCATATATACAACATGTTTAATATTTATGGCAAAGTGGCATAATTCTGCGCAGCACTTAATTCCGTGCATTTCGCTAAAATTTTGCGGTATTTTACAGTTTTATCTAAATTTATATTTTTACCATGCACAAGATGTTAATACCTACCATCATCGCCGGAGATGAACCAGCGTCTGGCTGAAAATCTCCTTAATAAAGACAACTAACCAACCTACTATCATGTTCAATTCAATTCAAATTATATGCAATTTCCAATTATTTTAGAAATTTTCAAAAGAGCCCGGAATTAGGCCTGCGCAGAATTATGGTACTTTACGGCAGAATAAACACGTTCGGTGGGAAGCTACAAGATGCGACTGTCCAGATACCACAAGCTCGGCAACAAGTAGAATGCGAATGGTGTGGTAAACCTCCTCAACTTCTTATTCAGATTCGATAGTCCTAAAGGCCCACGCACATTAGATCCGGATCGGACGCGTTGCGGCGAACTGACAGCTAAATCTATTGTCTAACTGTCAAATTTGCGTCAACGCAACGCAAACGGATCTAATGTGGGTGGTCCTTAAGAGTCTTAAGTTAGTGACCGAATCATTACTTTCAAAAAGTACATAAAACCTGACTTCTTCCTGTAACATGTCGAACGGATCATGCTAAATGCGCATCAAAGTGTGACATATTTAATAGTGAGGTATAATGTGAAAATGATGCAAATTGGAGAAATAATCAGCGGCTGTTTTTTCCACCGTTGACGATTCTTCCGCCCTTTAATTTATAGGTGAATCATTTTTGCAATGATCTTCTCTTATTCGAAGACTATATCTTGATGCCTACAAAACAAAACGAAACATTTAAAATAGCATAAAATATTAACACTGCAGTTTTCAAATATTCACACAAAATCCTTGGCGACATCCGATAAATAAACAACTAAAATGTGTTTAGCAACGGTGGTAACAACCTAATGCTAAATAAAGGTTAAGTATTTTAAAGTATTTCCAGGTATCTTAGGTATTTGTAAGAACTTTCTAAGTATAACGTGAGATATAAAAAGTTTAGAGTGGGATACCCCTAGACAAAGGATGTTTTTGACAGTATGACATTTACAAATCTGTTCCGTAATATTTACAAGAATCTGGTACTTTACTACCATTTGTTTTTGTTAAAGACTATAGTTTTACAGTACGTTCGCCACAGGCGACGTTGTCGGTTTATTAATGGGCCTTTTTTTTGTAAACAACCGATTTCGCCGGTCGACAGTGAAATTCGCCATCTGTCAAATTTTTTATGGGGAACGTTTTGATCAAGGGGGGGGGAGGTGGCTGTCAAATACGAACAATCGACGCCTACCTCGCATGCCTCGCATAACTGGTTCCAAAGGTAAACAAGGCATAAGAAACCTACAGAGATTGTTTACGTTTGGAGCCAGTTCCATACAAGAATGATCAGTAGACTGATTTGACAGCACGTCCCCCCCAGGTTTTGATCAGATTCATGCTGGGGGGATGTGCTGTCAAATCAGCCTACTGATCATCTTGTATGAAACTGGTTCCAAACGTAAACAAACGCTGTAGGTTTCTTATGGCTTGTTTACGTTTGGAACCAGTTATGCGAGGTAGGCGACGATTGTTCGTATTTGACAGCCACCTCCCCCCCTTGGATTCATGTCGATGTTCTTCATTTGTCAACTTGTCACTCTCCCATTTTTGGGTAGGTTCAGTTTTGACCGATCTACACTAAAAAAATATTGAAATCTAAATAGCATAAAAGTTACGCTAAATCGCAACTCTCCGTACCGACGCAAAGGTCGGTATAAATGGAGAGAATGCAAACTTAGTATAAAAATGGTTTATGCGTGCCATAGTATAAAATCGAAATATACTTACAATGTATAGATACGGTTTAATCGAGAGAATGTCTTTTTCGCTTCTTTATTTTATTTATGGTAAATATTATTGTTTTCAAATAGAAATAAAAATTTTCTCAGGAAGGTTTTTTAATTATTTTATTTTTTATGAATATTATTTAAAAAATACTTACCATTTCGATGTTCATTAAGATGAACTCGTGCTCACGAGCTCACGCAGTCTAGCTGCCCAGCAGATCACAGGCGCAGTTGAAATCCGCCGGAACAAAGCTCTTCACAAGCGCGAAGCTGCGAAGAGAATCCAAATGTTATTTTTCCTGTCATTTTAGTAAACACTGATCCTGACACTGATCGAATTCCACTCCGTTATTCGGACTTAGTATAATCATAGAGGTAACTCTAAGACTAGAAGGTCCCGAAATAACGTGCTCAACTTTTTGGCTCAGCTCTGGTACTCTCTTCGGTCCCAAGCTAATCGATTCACCCCTCGAAACATAGGAAAAACCAATAACCCCTCATTTTATCTGTCAAACTTTCATAGCGAATCAAAACAAACATTGCGTAGTACTAGAATTTTGACTAGAATAGGGTACGTTAATCGTTTGCTTGGGACCAATAGGCTACTAAAGTGGTGAGCCAAATCAAAATCGTTAGTTTCGTATTGATTGTTGGTATAATTTTGACGAAAATTTTAATCGAACCAATGTATGAATTTTGAAAAACCATAAAATGCTGGGTACTGCGAACACAGCCGTTATTGTTTTTCAAGTCAATAGGAAACAACTTGAAAATTTTCCGATATCACAAATTGTTTTGCTAATGCACTGCTCACAATTTGCATATACATGCTGTCGAAAGTTCACCCTTTGCTCCATAAATAACGTGTACATGGTGTTGGGAGTGCACCTACCCACATGACTCTTATAAAGTTTGTTTGCATTCTTCCTTCAGCAGTTCGTGCAGGTTCGTTCGTTCGTTACATTGTTTACATCCGAGTATTTGAGCAAGTTTTTTGTTGAAGAATATTAGTAAAAAAATGCCGAAATGACAATATTTTCAACATTGACCACAATACTTTCTCTGCCGACGGGGATTGTATGAGAAAAGTATCACTTTTAGCAGCTCTAGATCGTTGGATTCTTTTTGACAGCACCAGTTGGATTCTTTTTGACAACCATTTCGTGTTTCTCCGCATCACTCAGATAAAATGCATAAAATTTAATCTATATTCGTTTTGTAATATTTTTGAGTGTAGGTAGGTTCTACCCAAATTTGGGTAGTTTTAAAATAGCGTGTATTGCCACTTCTGAAGGGTTGCCGATCCCCCCAATTCGATCGTCGGCTGTTTAAACGGATGATGTCACACTCCGTCAGTCATTTAAACAGCAGAAGAACGAAAGAGATGACGAATTCACACTGCCTCATCTGTTTACATCTCATTGCGTCGCGTCAGCTTTCAACTTTTTCATGATTAGCGCCTCCATCTTTAATCCCGATCGCTGTGGCGGTGGCAAATCAGCTCCTACCTAGATTCTTCCGGTGCACTCAACGTCTGAATAAGAAAAAAAAAGTGCCTTTATCAGTACAACGCTAGTGCAGTGAATTTAAAAGTACAATTTGAAAAGAAATAATCATGATCGAAATCACCCGGCCGCTGCGGGAGTTTCTCGTGCTAAAACCATTTGACACGACCAACATAGTTTGGCGTCTTCACAGCCGATACACCGTGGTCTTGCTGATATTGTTCACCATTCTGCTGTCGGCTCGAACGTACTTTGGCGAACCGATCGAGTGTTTCAGCCCGGCATCTCCGGTAGCAAGATCAAGCCTACACAGTTTCTGCTGGACTCTGGGAACTTACATTAGTCGGGATCCAATGTTTGGTAAGTGTGGTTAAATAGCGTTCGGAAAAAAATGTTTTCGATGTCTTATTATAGTTGATGCCAGCTGGGACTTCATCGAGATCGGAACAAAGATGGGCCACATTCCTAAAAATGAAAGGGTGTATCAGAAGTACTACCAGTGGGTTCCGTTTTTGCTGGCAATTCAGGCGTTCCTGTTCTCATTTCCCAAGCACCTGTGGCGGTTCTGTGAAGGCGGACGTTTGGCCGAATTAAGCAATGATTTGAGTAAGTTGCTCTCAGTCCCCCCTATTCTGCGAGTCACGTGACTCTCTCTCACCGGTGAGGTGACAATAGCCACCTCGTGTGAGGTGACTCTCCATTTGATTTGCATGGAGAGCCACCTCACACGAGGTGACAATTGTCACCTCACCGGTGAGAGAGAGTCACGTGGCTCGCAGAATAAGGGGGAGTATCTAATATTGACGTCGATGATAATATCACTTTTTGCAGATTCTATTTTCCAACCGGAAGCTTGGACACGGAAGCGTAAATGTCAAACGCTGCTCTATCTGACTCAGGAATGTCGCCGGCGACACACCAAATATGGACTGATTTTCGTTGGATGTGAGATTCTCAACTTTATTGTCCTTCTGCTGAACATGCTTCTGATGAATTTCATCTTCGATGGCTTTTGGCCCAACTACACGCCGGCCATTAAAGCCCTTATGGCATTGGATATGAATTCATGGGTATTCTACAATTCTCTGGTTTTCCCAAAGTTGGCCAAATGCGATTTCAGCTACATTGGTCCCAGTGGATCGAAACAAACTCTGGATGCACTTTGCCTTCTACCGCATAATATTGTCAACGAGAAAATCTTCGCCTTCCTGTGGCTATGGTTCATCGTATTGGCCGTCGTGTCCAGTATGCAGTTGTGCTATCGGCTGGTACAGCTTTGCTGCCAAAGCGTTCGATTCCAGTGTCTGTTCAGCCTGTTGGATCCAATCAGTTATCACCGGTTGAAGCGCGTCGTCCGGGAAGCCAATATTGGACATTGGTTCCTGTTGTATCAGATGGCTCGGAACATGAACAAGGGCGTGATGCGGGAGATCATTCGGGATCTGTCCCGCATTGACCAGGAGATTAATATGTCCAAACAGAGCGTGAACGAACTGCAGTTTGGAGTGGAAGCGGAGAAGGAACCGGAGGAAATCGAAGATGACGAAGACACGGTTTGATGGGAGATCGGTTTGCGACTATAATAGCAGTGATAGCCGCCAAGAGGAAAAATACCTTATTCGATTGAAGTATTATTGAGTTTCTGTTGTGTATTAATTGAATTGGTGAAGGGATTTTCTTTTATATTGACTTTTCATTTATATGCTAATTTAAAAGGCATACTATTGTACTTATGTACATATTCCATTTTCCGAGCTACATAGAGGAAAGATCTATTGCAAATAAAAACAAATAACATCTCAGTGGCCTTTACTGCTTCACCTATCAGTAAAATTTATTTCTCTGATCTAAAGAACTCCTCCACACGTCCAGGGAGTTTTAGTGTAAAGGCCCACGCACATTAGATCCGGATCGGACGCGTTGCGGCAAAGTGACAGCTAAATCTATTGTCTAACTGTCAAATTTACGTCAACGCAACGCAAACGGATCTAATGTGGGTGGCCCTTAACAGCCTTTAAACAGCGGAAAAATATTCGAGTCCTGCCGCGAAGGATGACAGTTCAGACTCGAATACCCCGTTGTAAACCTGTTACCGGTACGCGCACTTCTTGTAATCGGAGCAAACTAACAACATCATCGGGAAGGGGAAACTTTTCCCTATCCGGCGATGTTGATTGTTTGTGTTGGTGTCATATGGGTGGCGAGAAAAGGGCATAAGAGGGGCACATGTTATTCTTGGTAAAGACCAGGAGCCTTATTACGGGTGTCACTACACGGTGATAAGCAAGTGAGACTCAGAATAAGAGCCGTGATTACCGTACAAATCAAATGGGAATCACTTCACCGTGACGACAAGTGACAAGTTTTCACCGTGAAGTGCCATCCGTAATAAGCCCCCAGCTTTCGTTTCAAAGCTCCAGACTAGATCCCTCTCACTGTCGGAGGGTTAGCGATTGGAGGAGAAAAGAAGTCTTATTAATCTCTATACGAGCTCACCTTTTCGCAATTAGGGTAGAGCGCTACTTCGTCGTAATCGCCCATTTCCGTTCTATCGATCAGAAAAGATCCATAATATCAATGATTTCACCGTGCACAAATCAATAATAGGTTTGTTCCGATGCGTTAGTTCATTAGCTACAACATAAATCCTGTTAGAGCCCATTGTATGAATATTTGCGCTCATTGTTCTCAAAACAAAAGAAGCGCTCCTAGCGAATCCCCTTTTTCTACGTTTATCCGTAGGACGAAGAAAATCTAATGGCGTTTCAATGCGTTAGGACGGAATTGAAACTCGTAGAACGAATTTAGAATCAAGAAGCAGTGTTAGGTTTTAGACAATATCTCAACAATTTGTGACTCTTTATCAAATCGAACGGTACGTCTGGAAAAGTGAATAAATTTGCAAGTCATTTTTGATAGAAATATTCCATTTTTTGTTTAAACTCATTCAGAAAAGAGAGGTAAAGCACGGGTTGTGCTTAGTAGGACGGAAATTAGATCAAAAACCCTACTTTAGAGTAATCGTCTTTCGGATTTTCCAGTAATTTACCAGATCTGAACCGTTCGGTTGTCTAACGATAACTAACTTTATTTAAACTTTTTTTTTACTTTAAATTTTCTTGTATTAGTGTGGTTTACATGTATTACTTATCAAGTGACACAGATGCGTCTTTTCAACTTTAGTTCTTTTGAAATTTCAACTATTATTAATTACAGTTCCTAGTCCTATCAGGCCTGTTTTAAGAATGACCACCTTGGTGGGATTGGTTTGTTGTAAATTTGAAAAGGGAGACTACTTATAACTACTATTTAGAACTACAACTAACCTACAACTACTATATACACCTAATCTACTATATACAAATTGCTTATCTAAGCATGTTCTGATAAATTACATTTTTGTGCAAATTTAGTTTTAATTTCGTTAATTCTTTGATAACTACGATACTTTTGGATTGACCGTTAAATGCTTGTTCGATGAACGACTTACGAGTGTTATGTCTGTTTGTCTGTGGTGAAGGTATGATCACAGAAAAGCAGACATAACACTCTTAAAACGTTCATCAAAATCGTTTTTAACGGTCAATTTGAATGTTTCTTAGTTGGTAGTACTGCCATTTGTGGTGCACATTCCCTAGCGTTTGACGTTTACACACTACAACCATCTGTTGAGTGTATTGCCCATCAAAGTATATACGACAGATGGCGGTAGGGTTTACAATTATAAATGTTCAATGTGTTGTGTCTGCTTGTCTGTGATATAACATTGAGGTAACGTTAGGATAAATTCAAAACATTGAGAAATATTACACATCACTTTCAGAAATACTTTACTTCGCAACCGATGAACCATTCTGACGGCCATACGAGTACCCAAGTAACCATATAGTCGCAATATAGCTTGTACACAGACAAACAGACATAACACATTGAATATTTCTCACTGTAAAACATCGTCACTAAAACATTACCGCCATCTGTTGAGTACACTGTGGTGGGTAGTACGCTGAACAGATGGTGGTAGTGTGTAAACGTCAAACGCAAGAGAATTGACTATGCGCGCCACAAGTGGCGGTACTACCAACAATCAATACGAAACTAACGATTTTAAATTGGCTCACCACTTTAGTAGCCTATTGGTCCCAAGCAAACGATTAACGTACCCTATTCTAGTTGAAATTCTATTACTACACTATGTTTGTTTTGATTCGCTATGAAAGTTTGACAGATAACATCAGGGGTGTGTGGATTCATGCAGAACATGCAGGGGTGAGTGAAATAGCTTGGGACTGCTTGAGACCGTTGTTCTGGTACTGAGTGAGCCAAAAATAATAATGATTTTCTTCGGGACCCGGTGGTCTTAGAGTTACCTCTATGGTACTACCAACTACGATACTTTCAAATTGACCGTTAAATGCTTGTTTGATGAACAACTTGCGAGTGTTATGTCTGTTTGTCTGTGGCTTGTATATTCTTACTTTGCTTGAGTATGGTTAGTTGGGGAATCTGATGAAACTGTCACTTCTTGAAACTGATCCCTTTCGTATTTCTTTCATTCTCCTTTCGCAAACGGAGCGCTCGATGGACCAGTGAATTTGGACGTGAGCCTCGTCCCAGATCACCATGGCAATTCAAACCGACCAAAAAAAGGCGGAATCATATTAGAACCAACCAAGGACGGTCTACGGAAGGAAATTGCCGGTGAAGCACGGAATGAAATACGAAGCGTTAGAGAAAAAGTCCAAGGGATTCCAAAAGAAGCAAATAACGATGGCGGAGCAGAATATGGTGAGAGCTTTCCATTTATTTAAAAAAAAAATAAATATCAAAACTACACTAAATACAACCAGGGTTGAAAAGAATATTTTCGAACCTGGAAGTGTGTATGTATCACCAATATCCATTTGATAACGGTGATGCATACATGCGGGGCTTATTGTGAGTGAAAGTAACCTCAGAATGGGCGTGACTCTCCAGACATTCTGAAATGGGTTGCTGGATCTGCAATAGAGCTATCACCTTCTAACTCCCGGACTAAAGCTGTCTACAATGACCATAAATGCGACATTGTAGAGAGAGTTCTTCCATAATAACACTGCCGGCCAGTGGGGGTTAGAGGGAATACACACACACACACACACACACACACACACACACACACGGAAGTGTTATTGGTCAGTAACTGTAAAGCGGTACAGCGGGCAGAAATCACCGTCGGGGAGCACACCATAGCCTCGAAGCGTGTGTTAAAATACCTGGGAGTGATGATCGATGACCGGCTAAACTTCAACAGCCACGTCGAATATGCCTGTGAGAAGGCTTCGAAGGCCATCAACGCGATAGCTAGAATCATGCCGAACAACGCTGGTCCCAGCAGTAGCAAGAGGCGTCTTCTGGCCAGCGTGTCATCATCGATACTGAGATATGGAGGTCCAGCCTGGGTTCCAGCGCTGGAAACGAAGCAGAACCAAAGGAAACTGAGCAGTACGTTCCGGCTCATGGCCATGCGAGTCGTGAGTGCGTACAGAACCATCTCGTCGGAAGCAGTATGCGTTATCGCCGGTATGATCCCTATCGGCATCACCCTGGCGGAGGACAGTGAGTGCTACAGGCAGAGAGAAGCCGGAAGAGTACGGAAAGTTGTGAGAGTGGAGTCATTGGCTAAGTGGCAACAGGAGTGGAACACGACGGAGAACGGTAGATGGACACATAGACTAATACCGATTCTTTCGACCTGGGTGAACAGAAAACACGGAGAAGTCAATTTCCACCTAACGCAGTTCCTGTCTGGCCACGGCTGCTTCAGGAAATACCTGCATCGGTTCGGACACGCAGCGTCACCCCTCTGTCCGGAGTGTGGCAACGTCGATGAAACGCCGGAGCATGTGGTCTTTGACTGTCCAAGGTTCGAGGCAGTGCGAACGGAGATGCCCGTCCTTAACGTGGAGAATGTCGTTGATGAAATGTGTCGAGAGGAGGACTCTTGGAATGCCGTCAGCAGGGCAGTCACACAGATTATGTCAGAGCTGCAGCGTAAATGGAGAGAAGAGCAGCGATCTAGCAACGCCAGCTAGCGCTGAGAGTACGACAAGTGCATGAGCACAGCCACCCCCCGAAGTAGTCGCTTCACAGTGGTCCCGGGGGGATCCAGGCAGAGGAGAGAGTAAGGAATGGGTTTTAGTGGAGCTGCACTAGGCAACTAGTGGATACCACACCGTGCCACCTTCACTACAGGCCAGGCTTCTTGAAGCTTTCCTAAACCTTACTATAAAAAAAAAAAAAAAAAAAAAAAAAAAAAAAAAAAAAAAAAAAAAACACACACACACACACACACACACAGGTCTACGAGACAGACATGGGACAGAGATCGATTAGGATCACAGCGGGAGTTCCACAAGGCTCCATCCTTGGTCCAACGCTCTGGAACGGGATGTACAACGGCGTGCTAACGCTGAAACTGCCCAAAGGAGTTGAGATCGTTGGCTTTGCGGACGACGTCGTCTTGACGGTAACAGGCGAGACGCTGGAAGAGGTGGAAGTGTTGTCAACCGAGGCAATCGACATGATTGGTAACTGGATGAAAGGAGCGAAGCTGCAAATAGCCCACCACAAAACGGAAGTGTTATTGGTCAGTAACTGTAAAGCGGTACAGCGGGCGGAAATCACCGTCGGGGAGCACACCATAGCCTCGAAGCGTGTGTTAAAATACCTGGGAGTGATGATCGATGACCGGCTAAACTTCAACAGCCACGTTGAATATGCCTGTGAGAAGGCTTCGAAGGCCATCAACGCGATAGCTAGAATCAT